TATATATACAGTTTGGTAGATAATATAATAAATAAATAAAACAACAAACACGCTAGTTAAGTTGAAAAGTTCATTCGTTAGAACAACTTTCACGTAGAAAAAAAAACTGTTGCCTACCATCTGCGCTATATGATTAGTACCTCAGTTCACATCCTCACTGCCATCATACATACGGAATACACATTAAAAGTTACTTACGAAAGCTATCGAGCGTGCATGAAGTCCGTCAACCTTCAGAGGCTCAGGTTAGAACTGATGGATTTTACATAAGCTCACGCGTTTCTATTAGGGTTTTCGTACTGTAACGTAGAAAATACAACTCGACCGTGTTCGAATTTCGTAGTCGTCAAAGTCACATGAAACAATTGTCTCTCCGTAGTCGAGGGCGTAAGTATGGGTACACATAGGTTCGAGCTCTTCGCCCATCGAATCGGCGTATGCTGGAAGCTCCAGAGGAATACCCCCTGTCGGAATCCGTTCCACTACGAAGGTCTGATTCTCGCATTTGCGTTTTGTAACGGGATTCGCCAAAGCTGCATTATGAAATAAACACGGACAAAGTGACAAATTGTAAGCTCAATCAGATCTACGTATAGAATAGTGTTTCATACTGCACGCAGTTGTATGTATTGATCTTAATTTGAGTTTAAAATTTAGAGAAAGACCGCTGTTGGAATTGATAAAATAAAGACATTTCGTCATTGGGATAGATCAGGCTATACGTTGTCAGCGTCACGCATAGGTACCTGTGACACATTACGAATTAAAACTGAATATTGCATGCAAATAGACCTTTCGTTTTAAAAATATAAGCACATGTATTTCTTACATTTACAGCAGTTCAACGTTGATCTGATGCGGGTACTGTTTATGACTACAGATAATACTTCAAGCATTGGGGGATATGCTGTATATCTGTTACACGAGGTAGGCAAAAGATTGAGGCGTTCCCAGCGCTTACAGCAGGAAAAGAGTAAGAATTGAAACTTAGTTGAGCAGACTTGCATTTACCAGAAATAATAATATTGTTCATGTTTTACATCCGCTACTTGAATCGCTAGGCGTTACTTCAGACGACACGAAACAGAATTTGCCTACGCGGATTCGAAGGCCACCACGTGTCCTTGAGTTTAAAAAATAAAAACATTATTCACTGCGCGAAAACGTCGTACTGTTAACCGAAGATCCAGTGCGAGATTTAAGAGAAGAAATGGTTTTGGTAGGTGTAAGGACCTACAGTATCCATTATTCCTGGTCAAGATAAGCTATTTAAGCCGTAAAAGAAGATTCTTACGTTTACAAAGATCGAAGTCAGTGACAGTCCAGGCGCCGTCCATCTGGCAGGTCGTATAAGTCTCTGCGAGTCGCGATGTCGGTAACGTGTAGCCCGTATCGCACGTAAACTCGCAATTCGCACCCACAGGAAAGCTTTCGAGCGATATAGCTAATAGGCCTGAAGGCATACCACATCTCGCCACTACGTGAGGGCCTGGTTTGAACGGTCGGCACGAAGATGCTGTAATATATTTAAGTTCTATAAATAGAGTAGAAACGTTAAGTCCTAATAGAACATCGCCGTAAATTGGGACGCATCGTCATAAGTCAAGCTTGCTGTATCATGTATAGCTTGAAACTGATTGTGGCTATAATTTACCCTACTCTTGGCTTTTGAGAATGTTTATATCATGTTAGATCATTCAGAAGATAATCTCGGCCATTTTTACTACCTCATTATCTCCATATTTGATGTGGCCGTTTGGTTTGCAAATCGACGTATTCCCCACCGTTTTATACTTAAATTTTTTCTCAGATCATAAACAGTATTCCGATCAGTTTTGGTTTCCCCTTCCTAAACTGGCTGCATTTCTTCAACGAGATTTTAGAGGCAAAAACGAAGATACCGCATGAACTCTTCGCTTTTATTAGAGGCCAATGGTTTGAACTTATGCCTCAAAAAATAGCCCAGAGTCGGTATTGGGAATAAGCATAGAATCTTTTATCATTATGTTCAGCACGAAACAAACAATGAATCGATTCTAAGCAAAACTCCATATCTTAGAGGGTTCGATGAAATCTGAATGGGGTGCTCAACTGTAACCTCTTGACACCTACCAAAACGATGAACGCAGATTACGACCCTATTGAACAGGCCGAGGATATATCGTGTATGTATATTGCGAAGAGAAAACGGGCACCGCAGCGTTTTTTAGTGACAAGGCAACATCTAACTTCGTCTTGCCTTTGGTAGATGGAAAATGCGAATCTTGAACAGATTTTTTTAACTCGGATTAGTGCTCAAATTTTGTTCGATCGTTCTTCCGTAAGGCAAAAACGAAGATTCAAAAAACTCTTATATGAAGCAGAAGAAAAATATCTGAGAATTTCGAGCCTATAAATGAACCGCCCCGTTGAGGCTAGAGGGTCGCTTTGTTATCTGTGGAATAGGTTCCCGAATTAGAGTAATCTTAATGCGGATCCGGTTTCCTGAAAAAATATTTCAATGTATAAATTAAAATGAAAAACAACACTTATTTAGTCTACATAACATGCGACCTTGATTTAAAACTAAAGGCAATAATACTTGACTTGTGCAGGCCAGTAAGACTAGTATCCGGAGCCGTATGGTTTCAAGGCTCCGATGCAACTACCAATGCCATCCCCTTGTATGGCTGTACGATGTGTTTGGTTTTTAAAGTGAAGAACGAGTTCCCACCGCAGAAGAGGTTCTGTGTAAACAAGTACAAAAAAAGCTTTCTCTCGTCGTCGAATGCTTGGCAGACTTCTTCAAAGCAGAGTGAGTTTACATTGTAACAGCAGCTAAAATACAGGTTTGTGTCGCTGAAAAAAATTTAGCTTTTTTTCGCTAGCTTCAAGTGTCTCTGTCAAAGCAGATAATCTGAACTACAACGTTTTGACCACTCGGCAGATGAGCCATTCTACCATATAAAGAGGAACTGGGTCAAGTACGTATGCGAGGAAACAGCTATCCACACGACTTGTAAAGGAATACAGTGTTTTTTTTTCCATACGTATGACTATGACATCAAGAACGTTTAGCGTTTATATAAATAAGCTGACATACGACTCTCTTAGATAGCGCTCATCGAAATACGGCCTACGTTGGCTAACATGGGTAGCTTCTAGATGCGTTCTTAGGTCCTAACAATTCCTGAGTGGATATGGAATTCATTCCTGTGTTGCTGTTAGGTAACCCAAGGTAATTTACCTTTACTTTAACGTTATAATTTCGCGTTAATGACGACTACTATTTTAAGGTAATATAAATTCTTACCCGTACTGAGAACAGTGAAGGTGCATTTCGATTCCGAATCCAACTGGAGATCAGTGGCAGTACAAAAAATACTAAACTCGCCGTAGCGTTGAATTGTCGTTAGATTACATTTAATTTCGACAGGTCCACCTTCAGCTCTTCCCGGACGGTATTGGGGCATCTCGACCGCTAAGGGGAGCGTGGCGTTTTCCACTATCTGATTCTGGCAGCCATTGACCAACAATGGGGCAACAGCACCTGGGCAAATTTAAGCAATAAATTACATGTAACACGTTATTTGACGCATCTCTTGTCTTTAGAAATACAGTAACAGAAAGTGCATAGATAATAATAATATCTACCGAGTGAGCTGGCCATCTAAATACCTCGAAATACGGTATATAATAGGCATAATCATTACTGCACGGGGTTTTTATAGCTTCCTTTGTCTAGGTCAAACAAGAGAATCTCTTGCTAGTTGCGTCTATCAATCAGTTTTCCAACATACTTCAATGTTGCCCTAAATTATTCCTTACTTTGGCAAGTAGGCCACGTATGAGTAGTGACGTCGCCAGCTGCGCAATCAAGCTCAGCTTCCGCCCGGTGACGCTTCGGCACAACGAAACCCGATGGGCACTCGACCTTACATCGTATCCCATTATCGACTTTTTTACAGATAACGTGCTGATGGCCTTCAGCAGCTTCACGACATTTTCTCAAGATGCTTTCTTGCCGGTTCTCGCACTCGAACACTTGGAAACCAACCCAAGACCCAGCCACGCACGAAATTCGATTTTTTTTCCTATTTGTATTTAAAGGTATTGAAGGCTCGAATCCTGCGTTACAACCTCGGAAACAAGGTAGGTGCTCACGAACGAACAGGCGCTTCTTCCAGCGACCACGCTGTCCACAGCTTGCCCAACCTGATTATACATGCACATAACACAACGTACGGACATATAACAATAAAAAAGAAGCCTATATATAACATATAATTGTTTGGAAATTAACTAATTTTTGCTGATTACTTGAAGATTGGGCACTCACCGTTCAACGGTTCCTTAGGCCAGCGGCAAGATACTTTGCGTTTAGAATGAGGCAAACCGACCACAGCTGAAAAAAGACTGTCTTTATGCTCAGATTCTGACTTTTTTTCCGGATTAATGCTGTTACTATCGGCTAACAATCTAGATACGTACCACTAGTGAAAGTATCATTGTGTTCTTGATTCGTGATATTCTAGAAACTATTTATTTTTCGTTTTACGGGAGTTTGGGTGTTGGAGTATAACAATGCGATAGTTTGGGCGACCGGCCTGGTCTACGTAACGTACGCATTTTTGTTTCGGAAACAATGTTTTGAATCTTTCTGCCTGACGAAAGATAATCAAACACTTCTTGCGATGTAAAGTCTTAAATTCTGACATCAGCGTTCAGTCCTTTCAAGCAACTAGAGTGATACAGAAGTACTATCTGAGGCCGCCTTTCTGCTTTATGCTGCCAAAGGGTCTGCCCGTTAACATTAGCAGGTCTAAGATTCTGTTACGGTTCCTGTATACAGTATGCATATGGCCTTCTAGTTTACCGGAGTAGTAAACAGGTTAACTGCTGCTGAAGTCGATCCGACGAAAGACCTCGCCAAACTTAAAGCGATATAGTTCATACGGGGAGCCAAAAAAACTCCTAGTAATTTGTAGTGACCATATAACGATAAAGTATCCTCGCGCGCGTCCAAATAGGATGGGTGGATGCACTGCTTTTACTATGTATGAATCTTATCATATGTCATATGATATGGCACTTCCACGGGTTTGCGCAATCAATAGCGACCACAATGCCCGGTACGCCGTATACGGTAACATGTTCAACCGTAATGAAATGTATGTTTTAAACGTTACGTTTGTAAAATTGATGTACCATTGGCGCCTATAAATATGATAACAGCTTTTATTTCTATATATTTTCAATTGTTTATCTTTCATAGCATTTTACCTGATGCAGAAGGGAAAACGGCTGGTGGTTTCTTTGGCGGGGCGCTTATTATCACAGGAGACTGCGTCGTCGCTTCAGCAAAGAACGCTTTATTTGTCAAATAGCACATACAACAACAATACAACAAAACCAGAAGCAATATTAATGCCTTCATTCGATGAATCACACTAATAAAGCAACTTTATCAATAAGGTGGACAAAGTATGCAGACTCTGGACGAAATTTTTGCGTAAAGATGTCACTCTTGAAGGCCCTGTCTATTTAGCAGCTTTAGTTTATAATCTAAGCTGCCAATTTATTTTTTAACCTCCAAATGACCTTTTGTCAGTAATCGTACATTAAGCGATATATATACGATATATCAAATATGTTATATACAAAAAATCTCCAATGGTTTTTTCTCGAACTTCGAAAATGACGTATTGTTTTTTGCCATGTCAAGTTTATTATTTTGTTCTGGAGAGAACTGCCTCCCTTTAACCACTACGAGCCACGGATGAGCGCATACATCTAGCCAAAGCTTATCCGAATATATATATATATATATATAAATATATACATAAATATATCTATATAGACCTAACCTGTACATATCGGTTGAAACTTGGGCATTTTCCAGACCGCTTGGCGCTTCCGCTTGACGCACTTGAATGCCGCCGTGACATTGGGTTGATTCAGGAGGTACTTGTACCCAGTAGTCAGACCTTTCAGAAGGAAACCCGGCTCACAACGAAGGTAACACCGACTGCCCCACAAATGTCCATTAGTGCACTCGAAAGACCCATTCTGCGTTGGCGGCAAAGGTGGACACCGGAGCGAGTACACTGTTACAGTCAACAAAAAACACGAGGGGAGTTCAGAGACCATTTACCACCCACAAAATATCGGCTGCGAGTCTTTAAACAACAAGTCTATCTTAATCCACAAGTAGAACTTGAAACGCAGTGGGAACCTATATTTGAGTAACGGAGTGGAGTTGGGTGTCCTACCTTGAAGTGTATATTTACAAGTTTTGGCAGGCAGCGGGACAAGGGTTTTGAAGACAATCGTGTAGTCACCTTCCTTAACGAAACTACCCATTCGAGGGCCTCGAAGCACCATTAAGGGGAAGTTCGTCACGGAATCGTCAGGTCTGGAAAAATAATTCGTTCATCTATTAAGGAATTATATACGAGTTAGTCCTCATTATTAACTGTCATTGCAATATTAAAGCTAAAATAGACAGTAAGAGTAGAGGCGATGAATGAAGATTTAGAAATATACAATCACATCTACAATATATATATATATATATATATATATATATATAGGACACTGGATTTTGGAAGCGTAAACGGAAATTGTTGACGAGTAGTTGATGAACTAACCCATTAGCCGTAGATGGTAAAAAAGCCACGTGCATAAAGCCTTATCTGATATCTCTAAAAACGTTAGGTTGGACAGAAAACCAAAAACCCATATTGTAATTTCGCTTTTTTCTAAAAGGGGTTATGAGTGTTCTGGAGCAATATTTATCGGCAATCACACCAGACGTAGAAAACTTGAAACGTTCATTTATACTACAATAATTATCATTCAAATTTCGACTATAAAACTCAATACCTGGGGGTATTATTATAGTCGGCCACTGGGTTCGCAGAAGACGTAAGATCACTTGACTATGACGACGTAAGAAGACATAAGGTTATGATAAGGCATATATGCTGTCTATTTTTCATCGTTTATGCTGTGGTACAATATAGGACAAGGAGGAAGAGGACGGGGGGCATCTAGAACGAAAGACCCCAGATTGCTCTTCTAAAACAACACGCCAATTGGATTTATGTACTTTGGAGAGTCTGCTATATATGGCTAATTTAAAAGAACACAACACCAGAAACAGTGGTGCAGGAAGCTCGTCTTAATTTCCAGCTTTCCTATACAACCATCATGCTGTACTTTTTTAAATTTAATTTATAATAAGGTTTGAATTCCGGTGGGCGCAGCTCAGAGCTAGCAGATTGCATCCACAGTGAATGAGATTTTATGATAGAAAAATATGCGAACAGATATGGACCAGCATCGTTTGTTAACGATATGTGAACGTTACGATAAGCAATGTCCCCAATGTATGCGAAGTTACCTCTAACATCGTAGCAAAGCTCTTCTCCCGATGATTATACATAGTTCTATAGCAAGTAAAGGATATATTGATATTATCACGGCCATAATATAACATAATGTTTTACGCTGGGTTTCAGTAAAAATATCTGCAAAAAGACAAATGACTGTTTCGACCAAAAGTCAGTCTCAACCACATAGATATGATTCTCAATATATTAAGGGTTCGAGCTCTGTTTAGGAATCGACGTGCTAGACTATCATATGTTATGCTTTCTTCGATTTTTCGGTTCCCTATTCGATCTCAAGTGCTTGAAACTCTTTGAAACAAGTTTGTTTATTTCGTATCACCTCGACACCGTAGAAACCCAAATTGGTCCGAAGTGACGATAAAAAACATACTTCTATATTCCGAAATAGCACAGATCTGAGCACCCAGCAGTTAGGCTTTTATACAGCCGCGTCAAAACTAAAATAACACCAAATGTATGATTAAAGGGCTAGTTCTATGAAAAATATTAAATTAAACCTAAGATTATAAGGTTTTTTTTTCGGTCATCGATTTGGTATAAATTAAGCTGTTGGAATGCTGTTTTATATCAATGGGAGGGTTCGTCGCCACGTGCTTGGATAGAGACAATTGTTTACAAAAGCAAAGACATCTTTGCGTTTCCGATAGGTAAGCTAACGTCACTTACTTCGTCTAGGACTTTGTCAGCTTGAAAAAATATCCTATTAGGACTGAGCAAAGAAAAACTGTGACCTTCAGTCAACCAATTTTCTAATTTAACAAACGGGGTTCGGTTCTGGATGATACAACCGTCCACCCTGAGAAAAAATTACTTATGTTGAGCCTTTTAGGTTTCCGAGTCGTGGGACATCTGCCACATAGAAGTTACCATGAAGACCCTAAAGGCGTTATGATATACAAGCATATACTTAATATCCTCAAACTGTTTAAAAATATTGGCCTATAGTGTACAGAAATTGTCGTTTAAGGGCAAGCGTCTTTGCACTGTCCAGAATGAAGACAAAGACGAAATTTGTTAGCGAAAAAAGTCTTCCTTAATCCCTATATAATGTGGTCGTGGTAAGTGTCTGTAGCCAAAGCTTTTACAGAAATCCTTTGCACGGCGGTAAAAGTAAGACAGCGTATCCCCTCAATCCTATTTACCTGGAGCAGAAGCGCAGTTTAGGCCGGGGTACTCTGGCTAATGACTGGTTTCTGGGCGCTCGAGCAAGTTGTCGTCGTGGGCATCGTATACACGTATCATTCACGCGGATTACGCGTACAGTGTCTATGATTGGCAAAAAAAAAAAAGAAAACAATAATAATCAGTGAGATACGCGAGGATATGCTTTGTAGGCTATAGGACGGCATCGATTCCAAGAGACGTTTGCAACTGCCAACGATGAGGACCTTATGGGAAAAGGATAATGGGTTGTATCGTAACGGCCTTTCGTGCTCGTCTTCTGAGAACTAAAGGCCAGTAGCCACAACGATGATCAATTCGTAGAAAATAGTCTCTTCTGTCTCTGAGATTTTTTGTTGTGTGTGGAAGTTGATTCCTGTGTACGTGCAATTAGTCTAAAATAAGTTTCTCGTAACTATTACTATTTCTGTAACGTTTAGTTACTGAAGCAATCAAAGAATAGATTTTAAGAGAATCTACCGGGCCCGGCATGCAGGGTTTGTATATTGTTATTATGCTTATTACAATGGATGTACATTTGTACCCAATGTGTACGTCAACGGCAGTACGAAGCTCTAAGAAGCGGAACTCCGACAGGCTTATGCTCGCGGTCATGTCATCTTTTGAAATGCAAACAAAACTTGAGCCAAACCATGACGCCACGTGCTACAGATAATCGTTACGTTTTGCGTACTAGAAAAGTCTACTTTAAAACATTTTCGTCAAAATGACACTTTATAGCGCAATTCCAGGCTATAAGAGAAACGTTCACATTTACAAGAGCTGCATTATTCATTTGTAAACCTATCCTGTCAGCTTTCAAGAATTAAACGTTAAACGCTCGCTTTTATAGATTAATGTTAGGATCCAAACACTGAGCATCCTTTGAAAAAAAACCCATCAAAATATGTATTCCATACAGTTTGTCTAGGTGGCGAGGAACGTGGCAGCTTTTCGAAGCCAGTTTTTCTCGATGCAACATGCTTGAATACTAATTCAGCGAGGCACTTAGTTATTTACTTTTTACTATGTTTTTTTTATCGATTAAGAAGAAGATTTTTGTCGGCATCTTTCCCCTTTCTTCATGCTGTCGATGTTTAATCAAAGTGTCATGGTGATCCTCTCCCTTTTGTCATGTTAGGATCTGTTACTACCTGACTTTATAGGGTTCTGATATTGCAAGGACGATGCAACGGGCCTTCCTCGAGATAAAGATGGGCCAGAGAGAGGGACCCTGCTACCGACGGGTTTTCCTGGTGGCCTTTGGTGGGTGGGATGATGCGCGTATGCATAGGCATGACGAGAAGAATATGGGGGCGAAGTGGGACTCACACGGTAGCTGAGGCTCGCGCTGAGACCCGGCACGCCATACTCGTAGTTGACATGCGAGTGGCTCATATCGTACACAGGGGCAGGGGATTCGTGACGGTTGCGCGGGTGGTCATGCTTGGAAGGGGCATTAAAAACAGCAGTGCAGCAATCAGCGTCAACGTCTGAAATGTGATTTTCATTGAGTCTGTTATTGCTGTAACCGTTCGTGTCACCAAAATGATACTTCCTGCTTCGGCGCATGTTACGTTTACGGTGATTAGACTGTACAGGTAGGGCCTGTGAGTGGGATGGAACCGATGCTGGTAGCAGTATGTTTTGCTTTTCTATACCATTTTGCGCTGTGTAAAGAACGTGCTGGGGATAGTGTATCGGCCTGGGCGGACGCACAGCGAACGACTGCAGATGTGGACGGTACTGCTGACCCGAGATGTATTGCTGGTGCAGTACGGTCACCCTTTGTCGCCTTTCATAGTCGTCGAGTGGCAACACCGGTGACTGGACCATTAGATGACGCTACGGATGAATTGTCGACAAAACAACACGAAAGCATTATGTTTTTGTTGCCGTATAGAATATACACAGGACACGTGGTATATTCATTTTTTGCGGAAGTCCTGAAAGTCAGGTGCATATGCTAGGCGTAATGCCACATGTTCGTTGTTTCGAAGCGGGAACCTAATGCTGCGCTTGTTTATTACATATAAAATCACGTAGGTCCTCACGGACATCGCGTTCGACTAGGTAACTAACGGGCATTCTGGCAAGTATCTATTTGTCCCCTCTATATGGGCTACTTTGTAATCCGTTGTGGCTAAAACAGGTAACAGGATTGGCTACAAATAGCAATCATAGAAAAGCCTAACATCTTAAGTTTAACAACGAAAAGGTTGAAGGACAAATTAAACACTTGTTGACATCATCGTGAACTATGTTATGAAGCACAAAGTTCAAGTTGTAAGTAATTAAGCTGATACTACCTTGTCCCGCATGCATTGTGTATTGTTGCAGATATGCCCGTAACTCGGGCCGTAGTTTGGATTGAGACCCTCCGTATGATATCGTAATACTCCGCCTGCTACGAGCATATGCATCAGTAATAAAGACCGAATAGAATAGTATGCGTTAGCAATAATCTCTACTCCGGGCTATTGAAAGTAAATTGGAAAAAAAGTCGTATTGTAAAGTAAAATATAATTATTATTCAGCATTTTTTTTAGGGAAAACAGTCAGTAAGAGGCGCTCAATGACTCGTCGCTGGCCTTAGGCGCCGGTAACATCTAAGCTCAGGCTCAGGCTCAGAGGACTTCTTATGAAATTAGCAGTTTACATCAATAAGTCTTAGCGCTTATATGTTCCGTAAGGGAAACGTTATTCGAATTCTTTGCCCAGATTGTTCCTGCGGGTCCCCCTCTAGAGCAATTGAATAGCCGAAGTAAGGTTGCTGAAACACAATAATGGAACAAGTAAAGCAACGTAACTAAACAATCCGACCATCGTACCATGAACTTCATCGATCTACTATCTATGGAATCACTGAACTGAAATGAAACAGAATGATGGCACGCCTATGAGCATATAATCAATATGGGACAAGAATCGTCCATGTAACTGACAGCAGGAATAGTGTCATCAATAGAACGACCTTAACAAATTTCAACTCCCAGTTTCAATAATTGTCAACTACCAGAACAACGCTTCTGATGGCATGTCCACATAAAACGAATAAGTAAAAGTGCTAAATTTAACATAAATTAGAGGATAAATACAAAAAAAAAATACATAAACCTGATCGGGTTTCCGACGAAGGTCGAGATTGAATTACTAGCCTGCGGCCTTTTTCTCAGGTGGAGTTGTTGCATCGTTCATTTAGCCAGCTACGTTCAGTTTGTTTCGAACGTAGCTACCCATTCTCATCATAGACTCAATCAGTCGAAATCCAGTCGTCTGAGCGACCGGATACCTCTATGTCGATTTCCGGTCAAATACGCCCGCCGAAAAAAAAATGGAGAAGACGTCCCGCAGCTCGGAATGGGCAAATGATCCCCTTTTGCCGATGACACAACGACTTAGAGTGGTCAGCCAATTGCACACAATCCTCACCACCTTCGACTTCCGTTTTGCCGACACACGTATCGCTCTTTAAAATATCGATTTTTCCTTATTGCAAAAAAAATTACGGTGCGGAAATTACTTTTAAGGTAATGCAATTTCCCCATTTTGTATTCTAATTTGAAATTTCATAAGTATTCATAGTGGTATAACGAAGTCTCTATTAAGGGTTCTTTTACTTCCTTTATACTATTGGAACGGTAGTTCTATTTCACTAAACGCTTATGTTTGTTTGGGCGAATCCCACAATGAACTATTGCAATAGATAATCAACTAAAATGTCTGCGACACTAACGCCTTGAGGTACATATCAGAGCAAGTCCTTGCGGGAACCTTCCCATTCGGAAATGAGGAGGAAAATCATTTGAAGGTTTAAAGACTCTTAACTATATAATGTATCTAAATATAAACGCAAACTTTATAGGAATCGCAATCAATCAAAAGGTAGTAACAAAAGTACTAAGATGCAAGGCCCGCTAGTTCGGTACAGAATTTTAGACTGATCCAGAACACGTGGCTATATGTACAACTGCGAAGATTCTGCGAAGATGATGAAGAAATACGCAAAAAACGAAGCTAGCCAATTTTACCGCCACTTCAATATGCGATGCCTCTGACAAGAAGGTGAGTTCAAAATTCTGGTGATGATAATCCCCTGAATAGGGACAGACATGCAAATGAAGTTAACACTTTTCTAATCCCCGATTGCTGCCATCAGCTAGCACATCTATAGATGCAATGGTCTGTTCTTTATTTTTCGACCTTTAGAGGTATTGTTGATAATAATATACCTATAATAATGCTAGTTAGTCATCTCTTGTAACTGCAAAATTATTGTTGATCGATCTGTTTGATTCCAGTTAGCAGGACGAAGTTCGCGTTGTCGTAAGTTCGATAAAGAACTCAAGTTAGTTAGTTTAACGGAACTCTGGTACAATCCTCTGGTAGCAAACGATACATAAGAAGCGATCTTAAGCGATCAGTCCTAACAATCAATCAGTTACATAATCGATTGATTGTTAATTTATATTCCAATGGTTACAACTAACTAAATAAATAAAGCGCAGATACGCTTTCTAATGTTAAAGTGATTATTACTTTATCAGTGTGGATACTATCTATAGTGTGGACCTAAATCGACTGGGTAACTATAACCGAAACAAGGCGGCGGCAAATTAAATGAAAACGGAAGCGATGTGGGTAACCGCTCATATAGTAAAAACAACTACGTTAACGATTTTTCTTTTTTCACGTATTTAATATAACCACCATTCTCCGCCTGACTAGTAATTTCTAGGTCACTCTTTCTATTAAAGGCAAACAACCTTCCCATAGTAACTGTGCATCGAACGATTCGTCGTTAAAGACGGCTACCTAGAGAAAATTTTACAATTGTGTACTAGTCGTAGGCTAAATGCAAGGGCTAAAAACAGTAAAAATGCGCAAAAAGGTGCAAAAAAATCTAACCAGTAGAACTTAATTTGGACGACCCGATTGTCAACTGATATTCTCCTGTCAGCTCTTAATTTCCAAAACCGTTTTGGAAAAATGACCGCCAAAAATGGCGTTTTGAGCTGTTTTGACGGATTTTCGAACCGAAAGTTTAAACACCATCAAGGATATTTCGGCTTGCCTCATAAAGGTCTTTCTAAGCTTTCCCAAAAGCCGCATGGAATTCGGCGACAACATAGCCCGTAGACTTGGGGCCGAAAAACGTGTCTCCAATTTTGGTGAAGGTTTGTGCAGCATGAATGGAGTCGATAACAGCCCATCTTCACTCGCTTTTCTTCGCCATCGCGAGTTTGTAGTAGAGAGAACTGATTTTCGTCTACTATCAAGAATAACGGATTAACACTTGCTTGTTGCGATAAATGGTCCGTCAAAATTTGTCCTAATTTAGGTGCCACACCTATTCGAAGGGTTCGTGTTGCGGAGTAGCAAATGGTCTCGAACTTCCAAACGGCTGAACATCGTAAATCACGATGGTTAGTTGTATACTCCTTTGTTAATCCGTTGAAGTGTCAGCTCTTGCAAAACTCTTGAGATAAGTTCAAAAAAGGACGCCTTCAAAAGCAACGGCGAATGAATTTTGAAGAAGTTGTTGGGAGCAATGAACGATGCTGACAAATGGATTAGCGGAGGCGGGCACTACGCCAGTACAGGTGAAAATGTGTAGAACCTGACAAAAAACCCAGATTTATCTGGGCATTTGTGAAACGTAAATTGTCGTGGGTTACAAAAAAAAATTACACGGCTTTTATTCAAGCTGTATGTCTGCACCAGCTGCAGTAGTATAACGTCCCTATTTCTCTGTTATTAGTAGATACTTGCAGGCAATTATGGTTTCGAAAAAAATCCAACATAGAGCCATAACGCTAATATTTCCGGCACACTCTAACATATGAATTGCATCTGAAACTAGGATATACCAATACAAGTAGTGAAGGGGCAATGTCGCACCGAAAAGGTGCAGCTTTGGGTGATTCGAATTGCTAATAACACATCTGAATATTCTGTGAACAGGCCATGTGATCAGTGCCCCAGGATTACGGATGGAGCCTTGAAAGCATCTTCGTCGATGCGCTCCTTTCGTGGCTCAATGTGAGTCCCTGTCTCCCGCGGAACAATCCTGCTAATAAGAGTTAGGATGAAAACATGAAACGCGAAGCCAGTATCCTCTTCTAGCATCACATTACGATTTTCGCTTAGCAGAGCGTACGACCATTTTATGTGTATTTATGTTTTGTGAGTGTTTATTTGTAACAAATAACGTTTATACGTTTCTCGTGTGTTTTTCGAGCCGCAGATTTGAGAAGAAGATAAGTTTGTTGACTAACACTTTATAATATAAGAGCGACGATTAACAATGATACTGTCGACAAAAGAAATGGCTCACATACAAGAATACTGTGTATTTTTGATATAGTTATATTAATAATTGAACAACACAGTTGTAGTATATAAATATACCAAAATAACGGCAACGAAGTGCACGAGTATATGTAACGGCTCAAAGGCTAGCGTAACATATACTAATGAGGCATCTAATTATGATATGCCAGGCTACCTGACAGCCGTATATTTTGACATCCTTCGAACTAATTGCAAGTATTTTAGTCAGTTAGGTAGCAAAAATTCACCCACATTCAATTTTTCGTTAAAAAAATAGGTCATTTAATTTTATATCAAAATGTGGGTTGAAATCTGTGGGCCTATCCGCGCACGCAAATGCATAATTCAAACATGGCTGACAGGTCTATGCTCTTACGCTAGGAGCTAACATTCAGATCAGTTCTACAGGATTATGCCAAGCTGGCGAGGACGATTACTTACCCGACTCATGTGCTAAAGTTGTTCCCAAAGCCGCAAACAACGTCACGAAGAGAACTACCGAAGCGACCATTCTTGATTTTATTGCTTCATCACGGACTTGTACGGAAAACAGATCCTGCAACAAATTTCCATACAGCAGATTTTGAGTAAGTTTTTTTCACGCTCCATCTTGTGCATCGGATATTTTAGAGTTCTATTTGAGTAACTTTGGCCATACGCTTTTAAGGAGTTCTATTTTTAACTGTTGTACAGCAACGTGAGACTCCCGGAAGACAGATTCCACGAAGACATCTCTTAGTGCAAACCTGTTTCCAGTTATCGCTAATCATCGTACCAGCTTTGATAAAAATGTTTATTTTTTTTCCAATTTCCAGTATATGTACAGCAGATGTCACCAATTGGCCCTAGATAAATAACGGCTAACAAAGCTTATTTACATAACTATTATCCTTCGTTTGGCGCACTTCGATTTTCCACAGTTGTTCTGGGGCGCTCATAGCTCGGTAGTATTAACGTGCTTAAACGGATCAAGCGAAACCCGTCAGTATTGCGGATCGATGGGTTTCTCTTGCTAAATAGCCACGTTGATTTTAAAGAGTCAAGTGAGTCTGTTTATACAGCCACATTGCCGTCATCACCACGTTTGCTACCATTATCACCACCACCAAAAAGGCTAGATAGCCATTTTTTAATAGTTTATATATATATATATATATATATATATATATATATATATATATATATATATAAAACCGAAAATACGTATGGTTATGATGAGTTGGATATATATATATATGAACAGCTGTTCTATCTTCGCTTCGTCTTCACCTATTTCGCCACCATATACATCGCGTATCGCAGCCAGTAATACAAAAGATCCTTGATCCGCACTATAATACTCAAGTTTCCTTGCAAACAAGACCCAAACTATAAAGATTAAATTGCACAGATTAATATTAATCTGATTAACGTACTATATGCATCAAAAACACCAACCTCTGTCAGGCCCTTAGTGAAAATATAAACAAAAAGATCTCGGGTTGATTGGCTCTGAAGTTCAGCTTTGGTTCGGTAAGCGGTACGAACACAACAATCAGGAGAGAGAATCACAGGAGACAGGAGAATCACCTCTTTTTTTTTTTTATTCGTTTCGGTGACTTCGGCCTTGGCGCAGTATTGTTTGCATATAAATACTTTTATATCTAGATCCTAGTGTACCCGCACATGCGCACACCTAGGTCAGAGCCTTACTTAATACTAGCAGCTATAAGAAAGGTCTACGGGTACGTATTTTTGTGCCTCACAAATTATTATCACGGATACAATGAGAATTCACAACAGGTTCGGTAACTTGTATTTGCTGCCTATTATGACCGGCATAGCAATGTGGAGTTGGCCTGCAATTGCCATGACAAAAGCAAGGCTATTCAAGTATCTATAGTTTGTAATAGTTTTGTTATTGTTACTGTTCTTTCGTTGCATCCGCCTTTCCTATAGCATCTCTACATCGAAATGTATGAACTACCGGGAAAGCTCTTCCGAAGGCGCAAAAAGGCTGGAATTGTTGTGACAATCATTGTTCCTTTTCATACGGCTCAGTTTTTGGCTAATGGCGTCACTATATATTGCAACAGACCGCGGAAAATATTATGTATATACGCAGATATGGATTGGCGCCTTCATACCGTGATCAGCTGCGCATCCAGCAGCTAGTCTTTTGCCCCATGTACTTCTCTGATATTCTACTTGTTGCCTAGCCCGATGCAAATGCGGCCCACTACACTACTTCAGCATAGAGCAGATGAAGTATAATGACAGTCGCCGCCAATATTCTCCGGCTGAATCTTCGGTGCGGTGCAGTTTAGGGTATAAATCTGTCGCTGTTTGTGAATTTCCCCTCGGGTAGTAATGATGCGTCAGTGTCGTTATACTGGTGACTTCGCCGTTCAGACAGAGGCGCTAATCGGCCGGCCACTATTCACTGCTTGTAGTGCCGTGTCCTGCGTTTGTATAGGATTAAACTCATCCACATTTATCTGTGTACGGGGATTTCTGGAAAAAATTTGGGATGCCCGGGTAATGACGGTGCGAAGCTTATGTCACGTAAAACTATCAGTTATGTCACGGTCACGATAAATTCGAAGGAAATATTTTCTTAAATTGCTGCTACGGCTGTTAGTTTTCAATGAAACACACCCATATATTGTCGCTTACCTCTATAGGCGTTGGCATAATATGCCTACTAATATAGGCCAAAAGAGACTTTGACGTGATAATCTGATCCTAATGAAAAAATTGCTTGGGCGCGCTTCAAGAATATATGAAAAGGTAAAATTGTGGTTTTTAATTATATATACCGTAGGAAAACACAGCCTTGGTTATTCAATCGATTTTCGAATCGAAATCTTCTTATTCACTTACCATTTTTTTGCTGAGAATTAAAAATCCCAAAATGGTTAGTTAGAAAGCAAAATCAAAATTTTCTTTACCCTTTTGACTTAAGTAAATGGTGTTAGTTGATCAAAATTAGCAGTAATGCGATCATTTCAGCCAGAGTCTGAAAACCGGAGCAGCGATCAAGAAAGCCCCTGAAATTTTATTGCGACCGATCGCGTACTATTAGACCAAACGAATAACCAAAAAAATATTTTTAGAAGAGTAGACAAATTTTTCCACCCATCAAACTGTCCTCACGAATTTTTTCCAGAAAACATGTAATTAAGGATGTATAGGCGCTATGTAATTAATATATATAGAAGGACAGCCTAGATCATTCTATCACACAGCCCAAAAAAAAAGAGGGAAACAAAGTACCAACGACTGTTTTCTGCCTTAGCAACAGCAGCAAATTTCTATTATTTAGTAGATGATGCCCGCAAGTGTTCTCATTGAGCTTTAATAGTGTGCAGGTATCGATGCGATGTCTGTAGTCAGAGGCTACAAAATATGCAGCTTCTGCCTATGGTTTATATGTGAATTTTGGTTCAGTTCTGTCTCGCCCAAACCCCAGAAATTTTCACTCGTCCTTCGCAGTTCCCACAGGGTTCCTAATAAACGATTTTTACGAGGTAGTCCCAATTGTTAGTCAGCAAAAATACCCCATAGCCAAGCAAAGACCGGTAAACTCGCCTACATGTTACGCACTGAATGAAGCCGGCTTTTGTGTTCCTGTCAAAGAATGTACGTTCATTCACAGATTTAAAGAATCAGATCTGGGAACTTTTTTAGTGATCTAGTAGACGATAGCGATACCACATTTGCTATATGCTTCGCTCATGTACAGAAACTTAAGTTTTTGTCGCTGAAAAGCCCACATTACCAGACAAATGGCTTGGTAGTAGGGTCTAATGCATTAACAACGTAACGTTAAAAAAGGTCAATTCTGACCTCTTTAAAAAATGTACCACCTTTGGAAAAGCGCATTCATACCGAGTGGGTCAAGATGGCTATATTCATAATCTTGTAAATACGATAAATACTAGTTGACATGTTGAAAACTCGTCCGGAAATACAAGGTCAATATATACAGCAATTAGTTCACCGGAAAGCTATCTAAATAACAAAAAATCGACACCGAAACACGAAAGTTTGAACATTCAACAACTTACATTGAGTCATATCAAGTTGGATGCTTTTACTTAATGTCATAAATACGTAGACATAGTCAATCAAGCACGTGCAACAGAACCTTTACGATGACATATTGTGCAAAAACGGTGCCAACACTCGACCGAGAGCGCATGAGATTGAAACGAGTGTCCCTTTAGGAAACGCAATTTCAGCTATCAGTTCGCAACAAGTCCATAGGCGGAATACGGAGTATAAGAATCATGAATCCAATGGAACGAACAGCGGTAGGTCATTTTTCGAAGACTGCCTTCGTAAAGGTCTAATCAGGCCGATCAGAAAGAAACACTGGTTGAATTTTGAATACGGTCTGACAGTAGAAGATATTTCGTTATTATTGTAACCATTTACAAGGATTATAATTAAAATATCGTATTTCCGGAGATAATTACTATGGTTTTTGTTATTACTGTTATTAGCGTTAGCATGGCCAAGAAATCTTCTCCAAGGCCACGTCGAGTGAATCCGTACAAAACATCCAAAGTACAAATCATCAATCGAATTAATTCGCTTCCAACGATCCGAGCGGTGTCCGACAATCTGTGATGCCAGTTACTGTTCTCCAAAAGTTCCGCCAATTTCTTAGTACGTTTTTTTTGAAGCTTTAAGCAAGATTATTGCTACAGCTATGAACGGCCCAGTTGACATTGAAATAGAACAGTTTTTCAGTTTACTTTGTACTTATAAGGTGAGCCAACCAAAAGCTTAGCCGGTGTGAGATCGTTGAGCTTTGTATGTCATCTACGCCATAATATTGATTTCAGGCTATTTAAGCTGGGACCCAGAGTTCACCAGCCTGTTACGACGATTTTTCTTCAGCTGAAACCCTATGTAATAATGTATTAGCAGGTGGCTTTCTACATACTAATCGAAATCAGGCACAGGTCACTACACAGAACCCCAAACAGGTCGCGGCTAGTTTTCGAATCATCGCGACGCGGGCAATCTGCGATCACCTGATATGTCTATCTATTGGCGACACGCAATCAGCGCCTGAGGGCAATACGCAAGGCTGTAGTATATACGGAACAATGCTATCCGCATGCAGCACCCCCATTGAAAATGAGCTTCGGTAGGCTAGTTGTTATTACCTTAACTAACTATTGTCTCGAGACGAAATCTGGAATCATCGGTACGATATGTAAAACCGGGAACTATTCTCCTGTTTCTGGCGAAAAAATAACTAACTGAATAAAAATTATATTTTTTACATTTTTCTATAATACTACATAATGTTTTCGCTATACAATCAGTCTGAAGTGTGTCTGTGAACCGTAGTGCGCAACCTACCACGTAGCTGGATAACCAAACAAGGAATAATAATCAACGGGTTAGAGCTCTTATGCCCATTATACAGACGCGTATAGCGGGAACGAATTAAGCTACATTACAGAAATCTATCCTTTGTATCGGTAAAGCTGAATAGTTTATATATGACGATTCGATGTTTGAGGCCTGCCTGAATGACAAGTCGTCCAAAAGTATGGT